AACAACAAGGGCTAGCTATGAAAGATCATTCAAAAGGACTTGTTAGAGGAGAGACTCCTCACAGCACTAAGGTTTTAAATATCACGACTGAGAGAGGGTCATGGCACTTACAGAATTAAAGAAGGCAAGAGCAGAAGCTTGTTTGGGGAGTTGGAAAGACAATGCAGAGTTGAGTTTGAGGCTGGCTGAAGTCCAAGTAACAACAAACACTCCAGTTGAAAAAGTGATGAGAAAGAGGAGGGGTGGGGTGGGGTGGGGGGGAAGTAGAGAGAAAACTTGAGCTACAAATGAGGCTAATACAAAAGTGCATTCCATAAAAACCTGTATAGTCACTATAGGAGAGCCAGATTTAGCTCTGAGCCTTATCACAATCAATGTTATAGCATTTATTATACTTATTAATTTTGTCTCCTTTAACTAGGTTGCTCCATAAGGGTAGTTTTTTGTTCTTGTTTTTGTTTTGTTTTTACTTTGTAGTTTTTGTTTTTCACTGATATGGCACTAGCACCTGAAACTTTGCATGATGCACAACATATGCTTAAAAACTATTTGTCGAATAAAAGAATGAATAAATGATAATTTTAGAAAAATGTCTGGACTCACAGGACAAGGCTCAACAGGAAGACAGAGGTAGAAGGCATTTCCACATCAACCTCTTAAGGTAATTCCACTTCAATCTCTTTTCACTTATCCTCTTGTTTTCCTCTGAGTCTTAAGGAAAGAGGTTTCTTCTCTGTCACCAAGGCTAAGCTCTTGTTTTTGTTAGAGAATCTATTCTTTCTCACCTCTTTAGGACCTAACTCAACAGTCAATCTTACTTCAGTTTTTTCTACCCATATACTTCTCCCCTTGGCCTCCAAACCTGTTAATGACTTTGGCAAAAAAATACTGAAAACTCCTTTTCTTGATGCTAACATCCCCTTTTGACTAGCACCCAATCTCTTTTTCTTTTCACTGATACTCCCCAAGTAACTGCTTCCTACCCAGCACCCCAAATCCCTATTCTGAATGCCTCTTCTAATACTGGGCTCCCAAAAGTTCCCAGTGGCCTTCTTCTTATCACATCCAGTGACACTGCCGCAGCGCTCCTCCTGCTCAATCTGTCTGTGGCTTGACATCACATCGGAAACCACGCTTGACTACCTGGCATCTCCAGGATCAAGTCTCCTTTGCTGCCACTACCTAAATAAGGGTATCTCCCCCAAATTCAAACTTTAGCTCTTCCCACTTTCCTCCAGCCCCTCCGAGAGCAAATGCAGTTCCAAAGCTTCAGTTGCTTCCAGTCTTGATGCAGAAGGATTCCAAGTCCGCCTTGCCAACCTTAACCTCCTACCTATGCTCCTATCTTGAGTCCCACATTTCTCATAAAACAACTCCACCTAGATGTTCCTCAGTCACCTCCAATTCTTCACATCTGAAGCTAACAACATTACCTGCAAAACCGGCTCCTGTCTTCAACCAGACTACGTCAGTCGGGACACTATCAGTCCTCTATACTCAACCAAGCTACGACTGTCTCCTCGTGGGCTTAATTTTCTGTACCGCCCCTTCCCAACTAGTTTGTCAATAAATCTCCACATTTCTGCCTTTGAAAATGTTTCTCAGTGTTGTCCTTAACTCCGCATCCTTTCTGCCACCAACCTAGACCAAGCTTGCCCTTTCCCCCTTAGCTCTGGATCACTTTTGCATCTCCCTGGATTCTTTCCCTCTCTTCTCCACTTCATCAGTCGTACTACCTCCAGATTAACCTTTCCAAATACCACTTTCTTCAAGATATGCCCTTACTCAAGAACCTAAAATGACTCCCCACTGACCTTGAATAAAATCCAAACTCTTCTCTTGGGCTTCCAACACTTTCCTTACCTGGCCCTCCCCTACTTATCCAATCCCATTTCCCATACCTCCCCAACCTATACCTTCCATTTAGTCAGCCCAAAATCCTCAATGGCAATGTCCCAACCTCCCTATGCCTTTGCCCACACTGTTCCTCCCACTCCTCATCCCCATTATTCATTCAAGGGTGACCCTCGGTTCCACTCCTCTGTAGTTGTCAACTGTTTATCCTATAACACCATGATGTTTAGCTATTAATCTCTAAGCAATAATCATCAATCTTCTTTGAAAAGTTCTTCAAAGGCAGAGACCACTTTGAATATTTTGTTTGCATTCCATCCTGAATAGCAGAAGGCTCCTAGCAAGAGTTAAAAAGTCCTTGTTGATTTTCTGTTCCAGTTGGTTCCTATTCACAGTTCTGAGCTTCCATATTTCCCCTTCTCTACCTCACAGCCATGATCAGTAAAATTATTGAGACACACTTTCCCAGACTTGGAACAAAGAATTCCCAGGAAGACGATATGGAATCCATTAATCTCTAAGAGTAGTGGGCTGGGGTGTGTGTCTGTGTGTGTGTGTGTCCATGTGTATGCAGGGAAGTAAGATTTAGGAAATCTAACTTAATCAGTTGGTCAAGAGAACTGAAATACCAAAGTAATCAGAAGATGACAAGTAAGGAACCAAAATGACAGAATTATTCAAAACATGCTTAATTAAAGGCACAGTATGTCAGGATTTTGACAAAGCAATTGCCAGTCTGGTCTTTGTGCAAAATTTTCCACAAGAAATAAAAGGGTAACCCTGGCACTAGGGTCTTTGAGAATTTGTTTGAAGTTTTCTCAGTTGTGCAACTGAATAAACTTACAACATCCAGCCTACAAGGTATAGTTCTATATCCCAGAGGGGAATTAGAAGGGAGAAGGTTAAGAAATATGGCCTTTTCCAGGCTTAAGAATTCCTAGGCTAGAGATTAAAAGGGGGTAAAATCAGGAAGTGGAGCACAGAGAGCCACAGGTTGGATGGTGGTCCCATGAAGGACCACAGGTAGCCTGCACTCCTTGCAACTTGTTACAGGTCACCAGTCATTTCCAGCCTTATGCTTTGAGGATTTCACCTTTCTCTGATTTTAAATGCACATCAGACTTAGCCCCCCTTCAACAAGGCTGCCCAAGGAGGAATATCCCCAACAGGAGTCCCACAGGAGTCTGCTATTTACTCTGCGATTTGAGCCAGGGCTAGACAATGTAAGCCCCAGGTTGTGTTTTGAAAAGCCCTGGGAAAAGTAACACATTGGACCATTATAGGCCATTAACACCATTAACACTGTGTGAATTCATTTGTCAGAAATTAGCAACCCTCCAGAAACTGAGCTCTGCTCCAAGGGCCTGAGAGAGGGAATGGACGGGAACTGGTGTTTGGATGATAGGAAAGGGAAAGGAGGAGTGGACACTAAAAGTTGAAAGTGGGATCCAGAAAGGGAAAGTAGGAAGGCTCCCACTTCCAGTTTTCCCCAGAGCTAAGAAAAGGCATGCTTCTGACCCAGATGGGAGGCAAGAAGGATCAGGAAGACCTCCTGGTGAATATTTCCAGACATCACTTACCCCCCAGAAACTCTACTCTAGATGGTAGGCTATACACTCAGGTCAAGACTGAGATGCTAGTTCCCCATATGCACTTCAGAATCCATGCTTTGGGTCCTGGGCAGTGTGTGTGTGTGTGCGTGCGTGCGTCACACAGAAGACAGAGTGAGGGGGAGAGAATGTGTGTGTAGAATCGTGTCTGGGAAAAAGGAAGGAGGGAGGGAGATATAGCTGAGCCTGGGAAGCAGCAGCAGGTAACAGGGGCTCCTTTCTGCTTTCCCCAGATCCTGGCATCCGCTCCTGTCCTCCAGTGCTTTCCCTTCCAGACCCACTAGAAAATGAACATATGGGCCAATCAAGTCTTGACTTCTAAAGCCACAAGTCTCCCCAACAAAGCACTCCAGTCCCTTCCCTAGAGATGACCTCCAGGGCAAGTCAATGAGGTTAGGAAACAGATGGATGTGCAGGGAGCCTTCAGAGCTAACCTGATCCCTGACCCCACCAGTTCATGTCCTGTAATCCAACTTAGGAAAGAGGGTAGAAGCTCAGGGGCCTCATAATTTATTGGACTCCTTGGGACAAAGATTCCAGACAAAATGGTTCCAGACAGGATAGATGAGTAGCTGTACCTACCGAGTTAGTGGAAGCCACAGGCAAAAGGGAGATGGGGAATCCCTAGCAATCAGAGAAAAAGGGCCACAGGTGGCGAGAGATGAGGATGGTCTGCATCTGTTCTGGGGAAGGGGCGCTGTAGTCAGGCAACAGGAGAAGCTATAAACCTGGGTGACGGGAGGTGGCAAGGCTGCAAACAGCTGGAAAGACAGATCTGGGGGTTCTACAAACCACAAGCAAGCAAAGATTCAGTGGGTGTGTATGAGGGGGACGCTAACTCACACTTCCAGGAATGAGTGATTCTTATGAAAAGCTCATCCGTTCCCAGAACTAGAGAAGAGGAGGACAAGAAAGAGGTCCGAGGCGCCCACCGTCCTCCAGCGCGGTCTGCCTTTCTCAAGTCTGAGATGCTGACTTCCCACACGCACCCGGCATGACCGTCTTGGGTCCGCCCCGCTCCTGTCAGTCTGCAGCCTGCGTGACTCCGGGTCCCCAAAGCCCCCCTTTTTGCACATCAAGGCCCTGGACCCCTGGCCCGAGAAGGGTTGCCAGGCCAGGGCGGCGGGAGCGGGGCTGACAGGCGCTGGGCTGTGGGAAGGGCGAGGACCGAGGGAGGGGCCGGGGACGCAGGTAGAGCTGGAGCCGCACGCTGCAAAGTAATCCAACATCGCCCCATCCTGCGCTCCGGGAGAAGGCGGCGGAGGGGACAGCCTCCCGCCTCCCGCCTCCCCACCACAGACTCCCCTAAGTGGGATGAACGCCGAGGGGCACGGAGATCCCAGCCCCCACCCGTCCCCGAAAGGCGACCAGCATTGCCATAACAACAAGAATCTCGGCAACTCCAGCCTGGACGAGGGGGACTGCCCCCCCCAACACGCACACCCCAGCAACAGCCCTCCTTTCCCAAACTTGTCCGAAACGCCGCGTCCCAGGCAGCGGCCCTGCCCCCGGCTGCCCGCGCCCTGCCCTGCCTACCTGTCCGGAAAAAGGCGTCCACGTCCGAGTCGGCTGCCCCTCCTTCCTCCGCTGCCCCCTCCAGGG